GGCTGCATGTGTTTTGAGCTTGGTTGGCCTAGCGTGCAGATGTGGCTGATGTCGTGGACCTCTGGGCCTCCCTGGTTTATCACCGGAGCCTTCTGTGACACCCTCCAGGTGTCCCCTGAGGCGAGGCAGATGCCGCTCTTCCTGCCGTTTGTCTGGTAGGTGGCACCAGGAGCCATGACAAGCGCAGCCCAAAGGTGTGCTGCTGGGAGGACACGCAGCTCTGGCCAGTCCTGGTCTCCAGGGGCCGGGAGGGAGGGCGGGCTTGGTGCCTCTGCTTCTTAGGTGTGGAAGAGATGTGGCCCGTGGGGTGCAGATGTGTGCCCCAGAAATGCCTGACTCCCACCCTCTTGTGGACAGGGCTTCCGGAGGGAATATAATTAGAAACGGATGAGATGTCCCCTGCACCTCTGGGGGCTGTGCCTGGCATCTTGGCTTTGGAACAAAAGGCGTTTGGTGGCTGTTTGCAGCCAGAGGCCCCTGGAGGCTGTGGTGGGAGAGGGAGAAAATGGACTTGACTTGCTTATCCTAGACTGAGGGGTCAGGGGTCAGGGTCCCCATGGCCACCCTATGGCAGAGACAAAGCTAAGGCCCTGCTAAGCACACTCAGGGCAGTGACTTCTAGAATCCTTGAGCTCGGAGGGCCCTTCGGCCCGCCCCACGCTCCCTCATCACCTGAGGACGAGGAGTGAGGCTGCTAGAAGCATCAGCGTGGGGACCGCTGCAGAGGCAACCGGTACCCTGAGCTTCTGGGGCCTGGAAGGAATCAGGCGGGACCTGGTGACCTGTGGGCTCCACAGGGTGGCCGGAGCATCCTCCTTGGACCTGAAACGGCATCAGAGGCCATCCCCAAAGCAGTCTGAATAACCCAGACCCTCTTGCTCGTAGAGTTCCGAGCTTATGTGTTATATATAAATGGGCGTCTCCTGAGGCATTTTTGTTTCTCTGAAAAGCAATATTGGCATTCTGGGGGCAGTTCTCAGCTGAGGTATCGTGAGTTTTATATCTATGAGGAGGGAGACTATGCAAACGGGAGTTTGTGTGGCGATGAAAATTTACTGCTAGGTGATTCTGTTTTTCATTGAAGTATAGTTGATTTACAATGTTGTGTTAGTTTCAGGTGTACAGCAAAGTGATTCAGTTACACAGATATATATATATCTGTTCTTTTAAAGATTCTTTTCCCTTATAGTTTATTACAAAATATGGAATATAGTTCCCTGGGCTATACAGTAGGTCCTTGTTGGCTAGCTATTTTATATTGATATATAGAAGTGTGTATATTGTTAATCCCAAACTCCTAATTTATCCCTCCCCCTCCCCCCTTTCCCCTTTGGTAACCATAAGTTTGTTTTCTATGTCTGTGGGTCTATTTCTGTTTTGTAAATAAATTCATTTGCATCATATTTTAGATTCCACATATAAGTGATATCATGTGGTATTTGTCTTTCTCTTTCTGACTTACTTCACTTAGTATGATAAGCTCTAGGTCCATCCATGTTTAAGTGAATCTGACTTAGTTTCCTGCCTACATGGACACACAGTTTATAGAGCTGTGTAAGGATCAGGCAAAGAAAAGGGGGAAAAAAAGGAAAACACACAAATAGTCCTAACTAGCAGCGCTTTTGTAAAAGCTAGCTTCCTTATTCAGTTGTTCTTTTTTGTGTTCGATGTCCTCGGATGAAAGTGGGAAGACTGCCGAGGGCCCCCCGGCACCTGGTGGTGTGGTCCTCATGTCTGTCTGTCTCAGGAGAACTCACACACGTGGCCCGGCTTCCTCCCTCGGCTTCTCCATTCCGTGGCTGCTGTGCTGTCTTCCTGAGGTGTCCTTGTCTGCTGCACCGAGGGGTCAGCTGCCAGTGTGCAGGACAGGTGCTGAGACAGGTACTCCTGTGTGGAGGGCTCTTTCTGCCAACAGACAAACTTCTTGTAAAACATGGGACAGGGACAGGTTGGGGCATGTCCCTGTCCTTCTCTGGGATGGCTGTAACCCAATGTCACTGTACAGGACGGTTGCAAGTCGGAAGGGAATAAGCATGGGTCATGGCACCTAAACGTGCCTTTACTTCACCTGGAGTTTCCAGGGAGTGTGGGAGCGGGGTCTGCATGGACCACCTTTCTGGTTAATCTTAGTGACAAAGCAGGGATGTCAATAGCAGTTTGGCTTTTCTGGAGGAGGGAAAGGGCCCAGAGATCCCTCTTAGAAATCTCTGCTTGTCATCTTCTATGTGCACCCAGCTCACTGCGAGTGCAGGATGGGTAAGCCTGGCCCTGCCCTCTGGGAGCTTGTGCTGAGGTGGGGGGTCCAGGAACATGGACTCTTACAAGAGGACCTGGTAAACGCCACAGGGAGGAAAGAACAGGGTGCTGTGGGCAGCCACCAGGGGCACATCTTCCTGGCACCTCTTCCCAGAGGAGATGAAGCTTAGAGGGGGTTTGGAAGGACAAGGGAGTGAGCCTGGAGCACATTGACGGGCAGGGAGGAGTGAGGGCATCCGAGGAAGAAGTAATAGCATGTCGACAGGTGCGAGTTTGAGCGGGTGTAGGGCCAACCGGGTGAGCTGCATCTGTGAGCCTGTCCCCCCAGGACCCTCCCCAGGGGAGAGCCCCAAAGCTTCATGGCCTCAGGGGAACAGCGGGATGAAAAGAAGAGGGCCGGGACTTTACAACCTTCCTCCTCACCCCAGTCCCTCTGTCGGTTTTCCCCAGAGCTTCCCGAGTCACAGTCACACCAGAGAGTCTGAAGGGCAGTGAAGCACACTGCTCAGACTTGAGATCCAGAGCTGGTGACCCCTGAGGTGTTGGCACGTGCCCAGGGAAGCTGCTCCCCGTGGGGCAGGCGAGCACATCTGTTTTCTTTTTCCAGGAGCAGTCCTGGAGATTTAGTTCTGCTGAGGGGGGAGCCTGCGGAATCAGATGTGCTTGATGGTTTGTGGTGGGCTCCCCTACCCGCTGTGTGTGTGTGTGTGTGTGTGTGTGTGTGTGTGTGTGTGTGGTGTGTGCGCGCGCGTGCACGCATTTATTCCTGTAAGCACAGGAGTCAACAGCTGCCCACAGGGGGTTGGGGTGCAGGCAGGGAAGCTGGCAGAGCATCCCGGGGTGTGCCCTTGGGGCATCCGGAAGATGCAGTTCAAAAAAAATAGCAATCTTGGGACACCTGCGAAGGTGAATTTTCAATGCGTTGGCGGTATATAAAGTTCACATCTCTGCGAATTCTGACGGTCTGCTGTTTCCAGATTCAGCAGGCTCACGGTAGTCTGCTTTTGTTCATATGCACACCTGCTCTGGGTAGCTCTTGGGAATCGGGTCCCTTTACTCTGGTCCGATTCTTGGTTTTTGAAAGTTTGCTGCTCCGTCTCCAGTCCCCTGGCCCCGACCCCTCACGCTCAACATTGAACTTGCAGCAGGATGCAGGGGAAGACCTGACTGTGGGGTCAAGGCCGCTGGGAGTCTTAACATTTGAGGTCCTCAGGCTGCATCTGTAGAGTGGGGGTGTCTGGGCTCCGTGGATGTCAGTAAGCAGGGGTGAGCCCCCCTCTTCCTAGCCCAGAGGAGGGGGCATGTGGGTGACGCAAGAAAACCAGCCTTCACAGCGTGGGCATGGCCGTGGGGATTTATCTTTTTCTTCCTCTAATCTGTTGAACAGGGGACCCTAGTGGTCAATACGAGGATACCCATGTCTATTTTTTTTTAATTTGGAAATAATTTCAAACTTAAAAGTTGCAAGACAAAAACAGTAGAGAGAACACCCAGATACCCTTTACCTAGATTTTCCTATTTTAAAATTTTGCCTCACTTGTCTTATGATGGCTCTGTGTGTGTGTTCAGATTTTTTTTTTTCTGAACCATTTTCTGAATGCGTTACGTCTCTCATGTCCCTTTCCCCCTAGTACTTAAGTGTGTATTTCCTAAAAATACGGTGTCCATATCTTTCAGTAATTACTTACCTGATATTTATATTTGGGATCATATAACGTTATGAAAAGCAGTTTATTATTTGATATTAAGTCTCCACTGTTTTTCCATGTGATTATGTAATGCCCATGTTCAAACATTAATAGATGCTGGGGACCTCTCAAATTTTCCCTCCTTTTCTAAGTCCCTTTGGATGATGTCTTGAATAGATTTAGTTTTTCAACTTTCACCCATTGTACAAATATTTCTTGCACCCCCTACAATTTTCTGACACTGTGCTTGGTGCTGGGGTTTAAACGTGAACAAGCTCCGACAAGGGTCTCACCTGCAGGGAGCTCCCAGTCTAGGCAAGAGACAGACACGAATCAGATAATGACATAAACCATATACCAGGGGCCAGCAGGCTAAGGGCCCTGGGCCAGATCAGCCCACTGCCTATTTTTGTACGGCTCCTGAGCCAAGAATGATTTTTACATTTTTGATGGTTGAAAAAGAAGCAAAAGAAGAATAACATGTAAAAATTAAATGCAATTCAAACCTCAGTGTCCACAAATAAAGTTTTATTGGAACACAGCCATGCCAAGCATTTCCAGCAGCAGGGTTGAGCAGCTGCCACGAAAACTAGAGGACCTGCAAAGTCAAAACTATTTAGTACTCTCTGGACTTTTACAGGGAAGGTTTGCCGAGCCCCGGAGTAAACACCCACAGAAGTGCTAGGAAGGAGGATTACAAGGATAAGAGAGGTGGTGTACTAGGGGTCTGTGTGGGGACCTAGGAAAGCGTCCTGAGGTGGGAGCTGAGGGAAGGGAAGGCGTTACCTGGAGGAGTGGGTGTGCGTTCCAGGCAGCACTTTCAAAGGTCCTGGGGTTGAGGAGGGTGGCGTTTTCAAGGGCCGAAAAGGCAGCTTGTGTGGCAGGAATAGAGACGGGGGTGAGAGAGATGGAGGCACTGCTGGAGGGGCATGGGGAGGGGTGTCAACTGCCCTGCTAGGACGGCCGCGTGGCCTGGAGGATGGTCGTGGTTAGGGAGGGGGTCACAATGGGTGTGCGGCTCTGCCAGAGGCCACTGACTTGTTCTTCTTCTTTTAGGTAAAACCTGTTCTCCAGCGTGTTGGCATCCTGTGGCTGGTCGGCTGAAGCTGGGGGGTGTGAAGGATCTGGAAGCTGTCCCGTCCGAGGTGTTGAAACCATAACAAACATTATTTATGAAACACTGGCACAGTTGTATGTAGAACGTCGGCTCCAAATGTCACTGCAGGAGACACCACCCTCTGGACGCTCCTTTAAAATGTCACCCTTTATTCCCTCCTCAAGAGGGCTTTTGCCTTGCTAAGGGGCAAGGGGAAACATGCTGATTTAAAAAATAATTTTAAAGCAACTGCCGACAAAAGTAAAAGAGATCAGAAGTTACCAAGAACCTAAGAAGAGCCTAAAGGGTATTCAACGGCATATTTAGGGTTTCTGACCGTCTGCTCTCCTGGATCTACGAACTTTTATATGTCTGACCCTTTGTGGCCTTTCTGGGCTTGGTCGAGTTCTGGCCTTTCGTTGGTGGTGGCCGCGTGAAAGTTCAGAGTGCAAGGGCTCAGAGCTGCTCAGCTTGTAGCAGATGTAAACACGTCCTGTGGCTCCTTTTCTTTTCTTTTTCCGAAAGGGTTCAGCAGAATTAGGCATGGCTAGCTCACAAAGAATTCTGAATATCAGGGAGAAACCTAGACCTGTGTGTGTGCATGTGTGTGCATGTGTGTGTATGTGTGCATGTGTGTGTGCATGTATGTGTGTGTGCATGTGTGTGTGTGTATGTACATGTGAGATAATTTCTCCATCTCTAAAGAGAAAAGAAAGTGTTTGGCAGCCTTTGCTTAGTAACATCCATGTGTGTTTCTCTGCCCTGTCACCGTTCTACATAGTTGGTCTTAGAAATGGAATTTAAAAAAAAATCACTGTGATAATTTAAATGAATGGTGATTTGCTTGGCTGAAAAAAGCCCACTGCCAGGGACTACGTTTGCAGTTGGTCCAGGCCAGACTGGCCTAGGAACCCACCTGGACCCAGGAGGTTACTGCAGGAAGACCCCTTGCACAGGTGGGTTTGGGTGGTGGCTTATCTTGCAGCTCCAGTGCCCGACACTTGCTGGAAGCAGGGCCTCGGGCTGACTCCTCAGGATGATAGAGGCCTCCCATTTCACTATTTCCCCAGGGTTATTTGCTGCAACGGATATCCTTCTGCAAAAGTCTCCTAGCAGTGCCTTTGGGGGTGGGCTACTCTGTTCTCTCTGGAAAGGTGTTTTGTAATTTTTTTTATCTCCTCTTTTCTGGCATTCTGCAGGGTTTGCAAATTTGCCTGTTTATTGTCTGCTCCACTGCTTGGGATGAAAACTCTGGCCTTTCCCTACTCGCCCCTATTTTCAGATTTTTCAGTTTCCTGGGAAGGGGCTGCCCTGCTGTGGGGTCCCCTGGTGCCCAAGGCCCTCTGGGCATGGGTGCTCTGCAGCCCTGGCCCATCAAGGTGGCACTTCAGCCTCTGCAGAAGAGAGGGGCGGCCACTCTGAGGACAGTGGCCTGCTGGTCCTCGGCTCCCTCCTGTGATTTGGCTTCTTTTGTTGACTTTCCTTCTCCCTTTCTCCGCCCTGTTTGCCAGAGCGGGGGGGGGGGGGCTGCTTTATCTCTACCCTCCACCGTGTCCTCATGGGCCAGGGTGGTGACTAAACGGGGTGGGCCGCCTAGCAGCTGTGCGCTTTCCGGACCTTTGAACTGGAACCGTGGCTCACATTTGCCTTTCCGACAACCGCGTCTGAACCATCTGCGGAGAAGCTGGATTCTTCTGCCTGACACATGAACGCCGGCCTCTGTCTGCCAGGTGCTCGTCACAGGGCCTGGCAGAGGCGGCCACCAAGAATGACCTTCCAGATGCCACAGCTTTGGCACTAGAGACTCTTAAATAAAAAACCCTTCTGGCGTGAACTGTGTATGCATGTTTGGAGGTTTTCTGAGATGGAGGCCAGCAAGGTGCCTTCTTTTGATGAGGGGTGTGGGCCCGAGGCTCGGAGGAGGGCAGAGGGGGTGCCCAGGAGGAGGTACTGGGCCTGGGTTTGAAGCCCTGGGTGCCTCAGTGCTGGGGCTCGGATCGAGCTCAGGGGTCAGGTCCCACCCAGGCCCCTCTGCCTCTAAGTCCTGCCAGAGTGACAAAGTTCTGTGGGATTCCAGAGGTGCAGAGAGAGGTAGGGAGGCTAGAGGTCCCCTGTAGGGGGCAAGGCATTTGTGGTGACCAGTGCTGGGGAGAGTGGGGTCCCAGGCAGAGGGGAGAAAGGAGGGTGGGATGGGGACAAGAGGCTGCAGGGGGCCTTCCTTTACCTGCGTAATCCAGCTCTTCCTCTGCGAAGACAAGTTCCGTTTCTTAAAAGCAGAGTGAGTTGGGTCTCGGGGAAGCAAAGTTGGGCTGGAAGGAATATCGGACCTCGGTGGGATGACTTCCTTTCTCTAATGCCTCCTTCTTTTTGTTCTTTTCATGGGCACTTCAGAGGGGCCAACTTTGGGGTCCAAAGGGACAACACTGTCCAAATGGATCCCACACCCCCCAGCGTTACTGCCGTTCTCCCTTGGTGAAAGATTAGATGTTCCTTAGCTGGGGGCACCCCGATTCCAAAGACCCGGTTCCCGTTCTTTTGCGAGCATTTGGGGACTTGTCAGATCACGTGTCCAGTATCGGCTCTGGAAGGTGTGACCATTATAGAGACATGATCTAGTCGGTGTCTTCTGGATTCACTTAAAAATAGGACTGGAAGTTATAAGAAAACATTTCAGACTGATTTAAGGAGCAGAATTTTGATTAAAAATGGATTTATTATAAAAGCGATGTTTTCATGGGTGACATTTTGGAAGACAGAGAGTTAATTATAAAGAAGATAAAACAAGTTATCCAGATAACAATACGCTTAACAGCATTTTGACATCCCCCTCCCCTCCTTTCCTTCCTTCCTTCCTTCCTTCCGTCATTTATCTGTATTTATCATTTGCAAACATTTATTGAATGCCCACTTACTCTGGGCTCTGTGTTAATTGGAAGACTCGAGAAGTTGAGTCTCGGGAGAAGACCAGACACGTGACCTAGAGGGATGACAGAGCATAAAGGGCTGTGACAGGGATGCGAGGGCCTCAGAAGACTTGACAAGGGAGGGGCCAGCTCTGCTTTACACTACGAGTGGCCTCTGGGCTTCTGTGTGAGTGCCTTTTCGTGTTTTTCTCTACACATTTGGGTCATACAACCTGATTTTTTCACTTACCATTATGAGTATTTCCTGGTGTCCACAAATATTTAAAACAGTTTTAAAAAGAGCCTTAGCATTGTGTTTTGTAGAATTGCACTACGAGGGACCCATCTCTGATCTCTACTGGCAAAAGCAAAGAACAAGAGGGGCCCCATGCCAGGTACAAGGGTTGAGGTCCCTGGGGTCTGAACTGGACCCCCAAGGAGAGCTCAGACGACGGTTGGTTTCCTTTCCTCCTTCCCTTTCCTCCTCTTTCGATATTTCAGCCTGAAGCCTGGCGAAGGATGATGTCTGCCTGAGCGCAGAGCTCGGCTCACCATGGTCCAGCATCATCTCTGCTCGCGGCCAGGCCCGGCCATCGCCACCCAGCTGTGTGCAATTCTGACCCTCGGCTGTCCCCACCCTGGCTGAGCAGCTCAGTGACTGTCCTTGTGTCACTGAGTGGAGCCCACAAAGGGCAGCTGCGGCCCGTGTGGAGCCTGTCCAGGGGGGGCAGAGTACGCTGGGGCTCCTGACCCCGCGGCAGACCCATCGGAGCCCCACCAAGCCTTCCCAGAGCCGCTGTGGGTGTCGCCTCAGCACGAGCCCCCAGTGGTCCTGATGTGCAGAGACGGTTCAGAAGCACCGGTCTCCCCGAGTCCTGTCCTTGAAGTGGCCATCGTGTGAGGTTTGGATTCAATTTTGGTTGTTCTCAGGTGTCTATCCGATTGTCCCCACACCACTGACTTGGGATGCTGCCTTGGTCGGGCACTAAGTTCTGTATCAGACTTTCACGTTCAAAGCTTTTGCATCTTAGCCCTACGGTATTAATGATCATCCTTGGGTTGAGGTCCTAGGGCCTGGAAAGAGCCAACCCAAAGCCTGCACCCCAGCACGGAGCACTGCCAGGCAGGACGACGCCGGGATGTGTAGGGTGGGTGTGCCGGCTGGAAGGGCACTGGGGGGTCATGGAGTCCAGCATCGTCATTCTACGCTTGAGGAAACTCGGGCTCCCAGAGTTTATGGGAACTCCAACTGTTTCCTCCACAGGAGGGTAAATTCCCTCTGAGCCTGGAGCATCTGTAGCTAGAACCCTAAGCAGCACTCAGGCGGAGGCCGCTGTCTTCCTCTTCCTCCGGTTCTCCCTTCTACACCTGTGCCTCATGGCTTTCCCGCCCCACCTGGCGGGGGGATGGTGGGTTGCTGACGGGTGTGTCGGGGGCACCCCTCCCCCACGTCCAGACTGGAGAGGGTGTGGTGACTGCCCGCGGGGCAGAGAGTGGATTTGGACCCACCTATAAAAAAACCTCAGATCCACAGTGCTGTGCCACCGGGGGAGACCACCGTCAGGTGTTTCCCAAAAGCAGTAAGCTCAGTGACTATGGAGTGTGAAAGCCTTGAACTTCACCAAGGGGGACGAGAGTGGCAACCGCAGAATGTTGGCCATAACCAACTGGGGCTGCTCCTGCTGGGGCTTCAGCTGCATGTTTCCTGGTCTGGAGGCCCCGCCAGGGCACGCCCAACTGGGGGCAGGAGGAGGGGCACGGGTCCCAGTGGGGCCCACTGTGAGGTCCACGGAGGCCAAGGCAACGTGAAGATGCACGCGAGCTCACCACGGGAGCCCAGAGTCAGCAGGCCTGTGGCCTGAGACTCTGCATTTCCAACAAGCTCCCAGGAGAGGCCGCAACTTGAAGAGCAAGATGGTAGGTTGCCTTTTTCCTGCACCCTGCTTCGCCACCACTCATGGCTTTCTGAGTTCTGACCCTGGAGGTTTAGGCCACAGGCCCAGCATCGTCCCGGACCTGCCCCCTCTCCTGCAAGAGCCCTAGTTACTGTTATGGCTCCTGGAAGTCCTAGTTGAAGGGTCACCTGTGCCAACTCGTCCCAGATACTGGAGGCCAGAAAGCAAGGCTGAGGATGTCACGCATGTCCTAGAAGAGAGCAGGGACGTGGTGGGGTGACAGTTTCCTTCCCATGCCCAAGAGAACCACCCTGTTTGGAGGATCAGGGTTTCCGAGATCTTGGGTACCTGGGAAGATGGCCCTCATGTCTGAGGAAGGGTCAGCTAGTCTGAGAGGAGGGTTGGTTGTCAACCCACATGGATATTTGACTCTTCCTGGTGAGTGGGAAAAAAACTTAAAAAAGTACTACAGCGTTTCCTTCCCTTCTCAGCAACCTACAGGTGAAAAACTCAAATCACATAAAATGTCTGGGGGCGGTGTTTTGACTTTCTGGAGGAACAGGGGGTGTTCCGGGGGAGGGCTAACCGTGTGAACCGTAGGCACAAGTGCACACACTTTTAGAAAGGGGCTTTGCATGTTCCTGCTTGTAAACATGCTTTCCATCCTCTTGCCGCTGGAATGTCCCCTTGTTCCCAACGTCCAGCCTCATACTCTTGCCAACACTGCTCTTTTCGCCCATCCTCTCTTGCCTCTGTGTACTCTTCCCATCCCTTCCCCCATAACCAAAAAAAATCCAAATCCCCCTGCTTGTTGCTTGCGGTTAGTTCACCCTCTTCTCTGAGCCTTGGGATGGTCCATTTCAGGCTTTCGGGACCTCCCCTCCTGCCCTAAGCCCCGATCACACTCTCCCCCACTGCCCTGCCCCAAGCAAACAACACTCTTCCCCTCAGAAGGTGCCATTATTCAGACGTACCCCAGGTACTTGTTGACATGACTGCAAGGTCATCAGAGCACTCACTGGTCCAGCCTTCCCCATGATGCTCCAGCTTCCAGGAGGCCATGGACTGTTAATTCTTTTTTTTTGTGCCAAGTCTGGGCACTTGGGTGGAGGGACAGTAATCCCTTTTGATAGTGACAATAACAGTAGTAGGAAGACCCGGCAGTGAGCGACTTCGGAAGTGTTTTTAGAGTGACAAATCGAGTCAACCAGCACTTTACTATAAGAGTACTCTGAAAGCCCTCGTTGATCCTGAAAAGTCTTGTACAAAAGGAGGAGACAAAAGAAGAGAATGAAGTGAGATAAGGGGAGGGACTCCCAGTATTTGTAGAGGACGGGGGAGTCCATCACTGCAGCAAAAGCAGGGGTGAATCCCCGAAGATGACTGTCCTGAGTCTCTGGGCTTCATAGGAAACGCTGTGATTTCATTCATTCACCCTACTCTGTGCCAGGTACTGTTCTAGGAACTGGGAACACCCTAGTGGACAAAACAGACTTAGCTTCGGTTTCCGTGGAATTTATACTAAGCAAAAGACAGACATGGAGCAAATAAAAATCCTGCCATCCTGCTGAGAGCTCTAAGGGATGATGGAGCACAGGTGGTGGTCAGCCCTGAATTGAATTTGAAGGGACAGGGCTGGATGAGGGAGGACCTGGAGTGAGGCTCAGGAGAAATGGCTACCAGGTGGGCTGTGTCCTGAGACCCCCACCTACTTTCCTATTGAAGAGACTGGAGCTGGTTTCCCAGCGTCAGACACCCTCTCCAGGGCAGGGCTACCTGATTCCTAAGAGAGCCTCGTGACTCCTTGCAAAGAAAAATGTGGGAGAAGAGGGTGATGGGTTTTAATTGTTCTAGTTTGGATTCTTAAATTTCACTTGGCAAGAAGAGGCCTCTACAACAAGACAGTTGATTTCATAGAGAACCTGCATCTGGATCCAGTTTCACCCCAGAAAAGGGAACAGTGAAGGCTCCTTGCAGCGTGGGGAGGGGTGAGGTTTGGGACTGCCCCCTGGCTCAGACATTTCAGCATCACTGCG